CTGGCCCGCAACCCAACAGAATCAGAATTCCTGCTCTGTGTCTCCCGTGTGCCTGTGTAAACTCACAGGTGTTACTGTGCATATTCCGATACGTGTAACAAAGGGAATACTCATTTTAATATGTGCAAATCAAGTCGGTATAAAGAGCCCGGAGCAGCAGCTCGTCCATGCGGGTCTGTGTGACATGTTTTTTACTCCACCCCGTCTATCTTGTAAACAATCAAAAAGTAACTCCAGGCAAGTGGCTCCTCTGCTCTGAAACATCCACTGAGTTTCTGGTGCCTACGCGTAGAAATCTGCACATCACGGTGTGGAAGAGAAAATCGCCCCAAATGAGACCTAAGCTGTTTTTGGACTGAACTCAGCAGGAAGTCAGGGAGCTTCTGCAGGTCAGGTTCGGGTCCTGCACCAGCACCCAGGAAGTGGCTGCGCTCACGGAGGACGCCAGCTAGCAGCAGTGAAATGGGTGGGTAGGTGCGTGAGAGACGCCTGAAGGCACAATCGCGTGAATGACTAGGTTTAAAAGCAGAGGAGATTTAGGTACTTCCCCATATCCTGAAACCTGTAAAGGAACTGAATTTCTGGGCTTCTGTTGCAGCTGATCTTTGATTGCTAGGTAGTAGCCCCGTACCCCAGACTTTCTGTCTTCCACTTGGGGAAACTTCCTCCGCCTGCTGTGGAGTGGCCCTGTGTCCACGTGACGGGTGGGAGGATCCAGGAGGAGATGCTCCAGGGAGGTATTCCACACTTAGGGAGCAGCTGCCACGTGTCAGGCATGTGCCGTGTTACAGATCCAGTGACTCAGGAGGTCAGGGGTTAAGGCATCAGCTAGAAAAGGAAACTCCGGGCTTGGGCTGGGGGTTGTCAAGGTGGCTGAGGTGGGGTTGAGGGAGGACCTCACACAGGATGGGGACCCAGGGGGAGCCTTGGGTCTTGAGTGTGTGTGTCAGGAATGGTGTCATCAGAGGCGGGGAAAAGCTTGTCAGAGATAGGAGACAAAACAGGGCTCGAGTTTGGAGCTAGCAATGGTTCGCCGGGCTGCGGCTGCAGAGTATTTGCTTGAGAGATCAATTTCCACGCATTTAATAAAACTAAGCACAAATGACCTGCCGGAGTAGTCTTGTAAACAGAAATGAAAGGGAAGCCGAGAGGGAGAAGACCTCCAGGGCGAGCAGCCATTCCCGCTCCGGCCGGAGCCTGCAGATGCTCCCCACACATGAGGCCGCCTGCACGGATCTGCACCCTGAATCCCCCCAAGCTCCGGCTTGAGTGTTTAACACCTTGTACTTGGTTTATGGGCTGAACTGAATTTGCCAACCGTTCTGCCCAAAATGAGTGTGGGAGGGGACGTGTCCCCCATCTTCACGGCTTACACCAGAAACCTGGGTTCTCCGGATCCGTCACCTCCTCCCATCGTGGGTGACCAGGAGGCCGCAGTGCTCCTCCTGGCTTCGATGCCCTCCACCCCTGCCTGGGCCACTGCAGTGCTGCAGCCCTGGAGGTCTGCTCCTCTCCCTGCTCTGAGCCAGTCTGCACCATGTGTTTATAGTGATGTCAAGCGGGTGTTTCCCAGGCTGTGGTCGGAGGGGATAACTGGGGGGGAGCAGATAATCTGTCCCCAACTCAGACACGTGACTCAGAATCTTCCGGAGTTCTTCAGAGTGACCGCACATTCGTAAGCTCTCTTTCCACTCCTTTTGCCATGAAAATGGAAGAATTATCCACATGAGAGGTAGAGCAGCCTACAAGTTAGGGTGGGTGTCTTCAAGCAGAGCGTTCTGATTTGAATTATAGCTGTGTGTTTTGGGGCATGCTTCTGTCCCTTTGCTGGGAGAATTAAGCTAACAGTGGAGCGGCTCTTGGGATGTTTAGAGGCTTCAGTGAGCTGGAGTAGACGTAATCACTTTTGTCGCCGTCCCACCAGTGTTTCTGGTTCTCATCTGCTCCTAGCTCGTGGGAAAGTTTTCTCCACTCCTGTGAAATTAACTGCGTCGTGTGATTTCCTCTGGTAAAAGGCACACGAGTGGGGCCTTGCGTGTCACTGGGGGTGGGGGGCTGATTCTCCAGGTCCTGCTTTTGGTTGTAGGGCAGTAAGTGTCCCAGGCAGAAGCACACAGTACACGGGCTGCCCTGCCCTCTCCTACTGAGAAAAATAGCTCCTGTGCATCAGGCCTCATTCCAGGGTTTTAGCAAAGCAGCGCTGTTACCGCCCTGCGGCTCACCCGACTGAACAACTTCAGGGCCAATGCGATTTTAAGGTCCTTAGAGTGGATCTGGCCTGCAGGAGCAGAAGTCCAGGGAGAGCACAGGAAGAGAGGTTTCCCTCCACCAGCCCGCAACACGGAGCACCAGCACTGGTCTCCAGCCTTACCTCGATCCCGCTCCGGCCAGCTGGTCTCTGTAAGCTCCTTGGCGTGACGGCACCCCTGCCCCAAGGACTCTCGGCCTGCACAGGCCTGGGCTGGAATTCCTGGCCCACACCTTTTCTCATCTTCATATTCCCCTGAAATGCCCGCCCCTTGGTGAGGCCATCTCTGCTCCGCTATTGGGAACAGTGGCCCTTTGTATGCCCTGGTTCTCCCCTCTCTCAGGAGCTCTTCTGTCTTTTTCATTGTGATCCATAGTTCATGTTGCTTGTCTATTTCTGTGCTTTGGTTTCCCTCTGGCATGGAAGAGGAAGCTCCATGAGTTCTTGTCTCCTTTTTGTGTTTTTGAGGCAGAGTCTCACTATGTAGCCCAGGCTGGCCTTGAGCTCATGGCAACCCTCCTGCCTCAGCCTCCCAAGTACTGGGATTACAAGCATGGGCCACCACACCCAACTCATCTTTTTTGTTCCTCAGAACTAAAATAGACCCTAGTACCCAGCAATATTAGATACAATATTAGAAGGTTGAGGGTCATAAAAAGAACAGAAACACAAGAGGGCAGGAGGGTTGTCTAGAATTAAATTGGGGTCTTTCCAAATACATGACTGCTCTTCAGTGACTATTCTCAAAAGAAATTGAGTTTCTAACAAGATCGGTGATAATTCTGACGAGTAATATATTTCATAATTGAAATGATGCTTTATTGCTTTCAGAAAACAGTACAGACTTAAATGAAGATAAACATACACTTCTGCCAAAATAAGTCAGTCAATAAAAATGCACCGGAACACCAGCTTTTATCGCAGCCACGTGCTGTGAACACGCAGACCCAGAATGTGAGTTACACCTCTCATTTTGAGCATTTCACTCAATAAAAATCTAATATGCTGGGTCCAAAGGATGACACACTGCAAACTCATGAAACTTCCCTGTGGCTTAGATAAACAAATTGAGATCACCAGGCGTAATCAAAGCCACATGTATTTGCACAACTCAATAACGTGAGCAGCTTAGACCTTCTGGTGGTTTGTATTTCAGCATCTACGGCAAGCCTGAGGGCTGTCACCATGGCATGGCTCTGGATGATTTGCTTCCGAGGGCCAAGCAGTGAAACGCACCGAGCTTCCTTCCCTGTGCTCACTCACTGGCTGTCTTAGCCCAGAATCGGAGGCAGCAGGCTGTGGGGTGACTGATCATACTCCCTGGTCATCATCGAAGTGGGATAACACGCTCAGGGTTCTGGGCCTGGCTGTAGGGACGGTCGTGCTCTCTGCTGTCCGGATTCTGTGGGTATATTCGTTCAGCACAGCTGCAAAGCAATGGCTGTGGGTCACTGGTTCACTGTCTTCGTTCAGACACCGAAAGGCTGATGGCTTGATCCCCACAAGCACCAAGCCCTAGGGATAAAGAAGTCTTCTTCCCTTGCTGTGGTGTCTCTTCCAAAGGACAGGAGACCTTGGAGCACAGAGGCGCAGATAACCTGGTCACTGGCAACTGCCCTCAGGCACTTTTTCTCATCCTGAAAGAATCCAACTTCTGGTTGTGAAGGCCCCTGAGGGGGTCAGGGAATGGCAGCCTGATGGGCTTGGAGAAAGCCCAAGGGCGAGGGGGCGGGAGCACGCTTCCCGGTCACGGAGGGATGGCACTGGAGGCTGAGTCTGCGCCCTGGCTGCCGCTGCTCTGGCATTGTCCCCTGCTTTGCTTCCCAGCTCCACGGGCAAAGCACCTCCACTCCTTCAGGCACTTACGCTGTGATTCTTCTGCCTGGGAGTCCAATGAGTGCCAACTGAGCCCTCTGAAACCATGAGCCTCATCGACCTCTCCTCCTTCTTCCTTAAACTGTGGTAAGTTCTGTGTCCCAGAGACAGAAAAGATGACCAATGTGGAAAACCAGTCTCAGAAGAGGAATCCTTGTTGTGACTGCACCTGGTTTGCAAGACTTTAGAACTGATTTGCAGGAGAAGTCTGGAACGCTTTGCAGATGTGGGCTAGAGAAGACACAGAGTGCTGTAAGCAGAGACTGATGGTGATCAGAAGACTGACAGGAGTGACAATAAAGACCAGGTTAAAGATGTTTTAGCTGGGAACAAGAGCTCCACTGATAACTGCACTAGAAGCCATGTGTTACCCTTTGGCAAATAAAATAAAATAGAATTCCCTACCTTTTGCCCATGTTTGGGGACTTTATCAGCTACTAAGATTAAAGGCTGTGAACTAATTAATCTGACGGAAGAATTCCAAGGCAGCCCAAAATGCAGGCTGTTGCATGAGTACTGTCGGCTGCTTTAGGCTAGTCTGTTAGAATCAGTTTTGTGTCTTCCCTGCATTTTTGAGGTTTTCAAGCTAACAGTAGAAGACAGAAGGGCTCCTTGGTGAACCACTGGTACATATTTATTTGGCCGCATTCTTACCTTTGCACTGCGTTTGCCACCTAGTAGATTAGAAGTGAGTAATAAAATTCTATTGCTCGTTTGTCTTAGGTTAGCTGCTTCTTTTGTTATGCTTCCTACTGCACTGGGAATGAATGAATGAATGAATGAATGGTCTGAATGTTTACCTAGAGAACAGGAAGTGTTGTTATTCTGGTAGACACTCAACTAAGACCACAGAAATGCAGCAAAAAGAATCCATATATTTTGTTTTAAATTTTTATTTGCTTACAAAAGAAAATAGGAACACATTCTCCAGAACTTTTCAGCATGTACTAAGTCATTCCTGTAGGCAAGGAGAGGGATGCCCTGGACCCATGGCTGGACAAATCAGAGCTGGTGGGAAGTTGTTACTTCATAGGAGTCAAAAACCACTGAGAAGCTAAGTCTATCTTTTAAATTAACAAATCCAGAAAGATTACATTCTGGAGCTTATTTTTGGATACCCGTGAAACCAGTCACTGAGTGACCTCGGAGTTGGACAGAGGTAGTGTCACTGGTAATGAATCCTCTTTCTTACCCACAGGGCTGGATTAGTGGTATAATCTGAGACCCTCTTTGATTCTCTCTCTTTCTGCTGGGTCCATTTCTCTCCAACATCGCCATACCCATCTTGTTTATTTTAGAACTGGAGATCATCTCCCACACGGGATCTTTAAAACATGCTAATTAATTAGCATTTGCTAATAACAACAGTAACTCTAACATTATCCAAGGAGGAGCTTCAGGCTGCAGACACGAGTTCCCCCACATACGAACCCCGCAATGACACATTCCTGGGTAAATCCTTAAGAGGTTTTGCTGTTGGTCTTCCAATGTCCTCCGAGGCTGTCAGATCCCAGAGCCCCACAGCTCCAAGGCTTCCTGCTCGTCTTGCACAGGGGTGAACTCAGGCTGATCTGGATGGGGGGCTAGAGAGGAAAAGTGGGGTGGGGACTTGAGAGAACCTAGAGGCCACGAATTGATATCCTCCTCTCCTGAGGGTCCTCAGACGCGCGGCTTTGGTCCAGCGACAGAGCCATCCTGCATGTGCAGAAAGCAGCAGCTGCCCGGCCCTCCACACCGATGCTACCTTTCCCGGGCCTCAGGGTTAGCAAAAGGAGCAAACGGCAACCACTAGAGAAACGGTTAGAACACTAGAATCGCAGCCAAGAGCTTAAATAGAATGTGTTTATTTACAAAAGAAACCCTGAACACACAGAAGAATTACAAAAAGAAAAATAAAATTTAAAAATCAGTCTCATGTTAGAAGTCCACCCTCAGGGACAGCGGGGAAGAAGGTGACAAGGAGAGGACAGGTGAGTGCAGAGACTGGGGAGAGGGTGCTCACGTATCTGTGTGGGGGAGCATGGAGGTGAGGGCACCGGGCCGCTGCGCAGTCACAGACCTCTCCCGTAGGGGACTGGGACACAGCCGGACACCTCTACCAGGCTGACCATGCGGTCAGCCTCACTATCGCTGACTGTACGGCTTGGTTGTGGCCCGGTGCCGTCACTCCATCACCTCCGGAGCAGGGAGAGCAAAAGGTCTGAAGCCGAAAGGCAGGGAAGCAGGTGAGGCCGGACAGAAGGCGCCCGCCGTTAGGGGCAGGGACTTAGTTGTGGCGGTCAACAGGACAGTTCTGTATCCACAGCCAAATGCCCATGCCGCGGCGACCCGCGTGGAGGCCGTCCCCGTCAGTGCTGGTAGTCGTTGTAAGGGATCAGATCTTAACAAGGGAGGGGGACGTGAGAGGAGAGGGGGAAAGGTGAACAGAGAAAAACACATCAGCAAGGCTTCTGTCGTTCTGGCAGTTAAGGGTAAATCTCTCAGGCCCCTGACTAAGGAGTTCACGGCCACACAGCGGTCTCTGAACCGCTCTCCCGAGGAATGAGGGTGGAAAGGTCCCTTCGGGGGGCAACAGAGGGCAGGTGATTGTAAGAAACACCAGCTTCCAGGGTCCCGGTCCAGCAGTTTGTGACCAGGCACAGGCATCATGGCCAATGCGGTTTCTTCTAAGCTTACCCTTGGTCACCTAACACGCCCTTGGGGCAAGATGCACCCTGAAGAATCTTGGGAACTTGCCTAACTGTGGGGGACCTACAATTAGGGGGACCTTAGGGAAGCCTAAGTTTTGAGGCTTCTTCCCTAAAGAGTAAATTTTCTAGAGTGTCTTGGCCACACCCCGGCAGAAACACAGAAAGGGGCCCCCAAAATGGGGGCAATATCCTCCAAGTGGCCAGAGCAGAGGTCAGGGGCCAAGCCGCGGGGATCACTCTTTGCAAACAAAGGCGGCTTAGCTGGGCCGCCACCCTGGGTTGCTCCTAAGGGTGACGGGAGCAGTCTCTGCTGTAACTGACCAGAGCAGATGCCGCGGATAATGTCAGGCAGTGAGCAGGGCCAGCTCCGCTCCCCTCAAGGGCTGCTCTGCTTTTCAGAGAGCGGCTCCACACCGTGGACGAAGAGCAAAAACCACGCAAGGCCCACACGAGGGTGGCACTTACCTCCCACGCCATAGGCAGAACACGACGATGGGTCGCAATATCCAGGCTGGCCGGAAGGCCCTTGCGGACCCGGCACCCCCAGGTGACCCGGGGGACCCCTTGGTCCAGGAGAGCCAGGGGGCCCCGGGCTGCCAGGCCGACTCTCCCCTGAAGGCCCTAGAAAGCAGGGCAAATGAAGAAGGTGAGTTTTGAGACCATCCTGCAGTGAACCAGTTCTTACAAGAAGCAACGTGACAATCACGTTAGGACAATCAGCCCCTCTCCCTACACTGAGTTCTCTTCTATCCTAGACTCCCAGGTGCAGGGTCACACCGTAACTACACAGTCTCCCTGAGGTCAGTGCTGGTAATCACCTCAGGAAACTCGGAGGCAAAGTATTTGTCCTCTGTAAACCTTGTTTCCTCTGATTGAGCTTTGGTGTTCCAGTACGGTTACTCGTGAGTTCAATGTGTGGGCATGCACACACCTGGATGCACACCCATGGTGCACACACTGGGATGCACATGCATGGTGCACACATCTGGATGCACACACATGATGCACACACTGGGATGCACATGCAGGGTGCACTCCCCTGAACACACTCGTCTCGGCCTCCTAATCTAGATGGAAGACTCACGCAAATCAGCATTGGCCTATGGCTCCTGCTAATTAAAATAAAGTGGAATAAATAAAATAAAATGGAAAACATTATTCTGGAGAAGAGAAATGCAAAGTGTGAACCTCGACACATTAACTTAAAGTTTCTTGAGGCTCTTACTCAACTGAGATCGTAGGTTTTGAATGGAGGTGGGTGGGCCAGTAAAGTAGTTTTAAATTTAAGGAGCCTACAGGCTGTGGTTTTGGTTTTGTATGCTTGGTATTTTTAGTCCTGGGTTCCCACAGTGTTTACAAAGGCACCAAACAACTAGAAATAACTTGAACTAGACCTGAACTGTCACTTCTATTTGAATAGGACAGTGGCTCTTAGACACACTGGGTTCCATTCGACCCACAGCCACCAACCACACATTCAATGTAGCACATAATTTAAGGTCAATTCTTCATATTCTGTCCAACAACAGAAGTATTTATCATCGCTATGGTCCTGTTGTTCGAGGAACACCTTTTATGATTGTATTGTAAAATCATTATTAGATTGAAAGGACAAACCTATAAAACAAAGTTTGATTCACTGGCCAGATCGCTTCTAGAATGGCCCAGGAGGCAAACTGCAGTGTAACGCAAGTCCAGTAACCCGGGGACCGTTCTAGAAGCAGATCTGGTACACTAAACTCCCGCAAAGCACTCAGTGAGGAGCTGCTGGGGCTGTTCTAACTCCCTGTCCTTTCTCTCTCACAGCTGGCCTGGGCTGTGTGACAGTTCCAGCCGCTGTCCCGCAATGCGGGGGGCGCACCAGGAATTTAGAAACGGAGACCTCGGGGCCTTCTTCCGTTTTTCTCTTGGAGGCTCCTTGGCCCCTGATGGTCACAGAGTCCAAAACGGAAGAGAGCTGCTGTGCCCACTGGTGACTTTGTGACTCTGAAAGACAGCCTCGCTGTGCCAGTCCTCCACATGTGTGGGGCCTGCTACTCCCGCACAGCAGGGGCGAGCTAACTCCAGAAGGAACACAGAACACGCTGTGGTCTTCAGGGGTCATCCCCAGCGGGGTGGTGCCTCAGCATCCCAGCAGAGCAAGTGAGAAATGCGGCCTCTCTGTTAGGTGCAAAGACATCACAGGGCTGTTTCCCCACCTGCGACAGCCGACAGCCGCTGAGCACCTGCAACAGCCACCTGTCTTAGGTCTGCGCATCTACCAGGAGGATAACAGCATGCGTACAGGAAATGTGGGGGTTTCCTTCTGACTCATTTTTTAAAATCTGGTGGTGTTTTCACTGCTTTGTTTTTGTTTCAATTTACTGTTTTGTTTTATTCGGGGTACTGCTTTGATTGGTGAAAGAGTTGCTGACCCAGACCAGACACTTTAACCAGGAGAAGCCTCAGCCAAATTAAGGAGCTCCTGCCTCCCCCGCCCCTTAGAGATTTACCTGTAACCCTATACCCCCATCCCTAAGAACCTGCCTCTGGCACCAAACGTGTACCAATGGCTACCTGTGCATCCCTAATGCCCCTTGGGGTGCACCCCAGACAGAGGCTACTTATGTGCCTCACTCCACGTGTTCGTGAGAGAGAGTGTGTTCCAGAGAGAGTTCACCGGCCCCGGGTGGAGATGCTGCGCCCCGGGGGCCGGGGGCTCTTGCCCCACATTCCCAAAGTAAAGGTTACTTATATTTTATACTTCTTATCTTTGCAGCCACCGCCGGCCACTCCTTCCCCACTCCACTCCTTCCAGTCCTCCTTCCTTCCTTCCTTCCTTCCTCCTTCTCCATCCCCCCTTTCTCAGACCTAACAATTGGTTTTATTCTGCTTCTTTTATTTGATTTCACTATGTCGGATGGCATGGACAACTATCGTGACGATCACAGGACAGATCATGGTAGCCACTGGAGAGCTCCTACTACCCTGCTTTGAAGTTCTGTGCCACTTTGACTGCTTTGTTGTGTTGGGTTTTATTCTCTTTAAAAGCCGAACACAGTAGACCTCCTCTCCTGAGGGTTTGGTCAGATGGGAAGATTTACCTGCTGGCCCAGGGGGGCCTCTGGGACCTTGAGTTCCAATGCCCGGGTTTCCTTTCTCGCCCTTGAGACCAGTCAGACCTGTTTCCAAAAAGGCAAGGAATTAAAAAACAGAAAAGAGAGAGTAAAAGAGGAGAGAGGAAAGGAGGGGGGGGGCAGGAGAACGAGGTAAGTTCTCTTTCAAAGGACCCTGGAAGGCGGCTCTGTCTCTCCCTGCTTCGAGTACCTCTGCTGAGGCAGTGGGATGGGGTTTAAGGCTGTGGGACCACAGGGCTTTGCGGTGAAATTCTCTTACGCATGGTCTGCACGGTTGTCAAGGAAGGCTGGTCCATGCAGACCAAGGACTCCTCTGTCCCCTTCCCCCTGCAGCCCAGAGCTGCCTGGCTCTGACTGCACCATGCCCCTGGACGCGTGCAGCTGGCACTCAAACGAGCACCGTGGGACTCACCAGTGGACCCATCTAACATTTTCTCTTTGGCCTGCCCTGCGATGGACCTGAACACGGCATGAATTATAATTAGGCAGCGAACTTCTGAAGCGCATGAATTTCCATTAAAAACTTGGAAGCGCCAGGAAAGCCTGTGTTTGATTTGGCTGAGTCAGCCCCATAAAAATCTCAACCTATTTGAGTTTCTTTTCCACTAAGGAAACTGTTTCTTCCAAACAATGTATGGTGCCATTAACAAGCTATGCATTTCAAAGGCAAAAGCAGAAGCATATAGTCCCAGACACCTCATCTTCCAAACAGTCCTGCGCAAGAGGGCCCCAGCCTCCCCCAAGTCGGGAGGGCGCCCGGCTGGACCCCAGCTCCCTGGCGCCCTCCCAGGAGGTCTCTGCCCTCTGCTTTTCAGGAGCAACCTTGCACAGAACGCAGGGTTGAGTCTTTGCCGCGTCTCACCCACTGAGAAATGATGCCCAGTGTATCACTTCTCAGCATAAAAGCCCCTGTCCCTGAGCTCAGCTCAGGGTCACCTGAGTGGTGACCACCCAGCGCTGCACCCCGGCACCATATTCACACCAGAAGCGCCCCGGGGAAGTGTCCTGGGTGCTCCTTTTGGATCACATGGGCCCCGGTTTAGTTCTGCTGCTAGGCGCTCCCCAGCTTGTCCATCAATGCTTGTGCCCTGAAGTTCAACTGGGAATTAAGCAAAAATGCCCCTTCCTGCCTTGGAATTGGCGTAACTGATTTTGAAAGAACTGCAACACGGTAGAATACAGGGATGACTAACTCAAGCTGCTCCTGATTAACGGCGGTGACTCAGGGCCGCCCCGGGCCTCGGAGAGCTGCAGGGTCATCGCGATCCTGTAGCAGCAGAAACTCGGGCTGAGGGACGTCCAGGAGAGCGCCCTTGGCACGGCTCCACGGTGTCCCGAGCCGTCCTCTGCCTCTTCGCAGGAAAGCAGAGAAGAGCACAAGCAGATACTCTGGCTGCCTTAACTTTGCAGCTTCTTACAGAAAAATAAGTGAAATGTGACACAATCCGTAACGTTCATCCAGGTAAGTGATGGAGAACTTCCAAGAAGAATCTACCCTCAAAAACATCCTAGAAAGGAAGAAAGGAAGCCTAAAGATGCCGTTAGAGATTCGGAGGGACTTTGGGATCGTACTGTCCTGGAAGTTATCATTAGTCCAAACTACAACCAGGCGGATATGCTGACATTTGCCCACGTGTCCCCATATGGGTGCCTGCGGTCCTCACACTGGAGATGCCTTCACATCCACAAAAGCTGAAATTGGCTGCTGTTTTGGGGGAGGGGATTGAAAAACACGTTACAAATTATAAGGACTGAGATGAGAAGCTCAGCTCAGACACCCCCAAGCTCTAAAAGTACTCCTGGGCGTGACATTTATGAGCTCCTTGGGTCCAGGTATTAAGTGATCCACACCCACCCTCGTGCACAGCAGAAAAACTCCTAAAAACCCAAACTGGGAAGCAGCCTCCATGTCCATCAACTGGCGAACAGATAAAGAAAACATAGTGTTTACACACCCTGGAGTACTACTCTGTCATAAAGGATAAACTTGAATCATTTGCAGGAAATGGAGGACCTTGAGAGCATAGTATTAAGTGAAATAAAGTGGACACACAGCATAAATATGGCACGCTTTTTCTTATACGAGAGCCCCACAGTATAAATAAAGAGCAAGGGAAAAGACAGATAAACGAAAACGGAGATAGACCTTTCTGAAGCGGGCAGGGGATCGGGAGTGGCGCTCGAGGAGCGCAGGAGAACGCACTGAGACATGCTCTGCATGCGGCCGACTCCCACCAGGACTATGATTTTTATGCACCACAGACATGGACTAATAGAAATCAAAATTGAAGAAAAAGGAAATAAATGTCTGTTAAACACGAGGGTAAATGAGTGATATACAAATCCGATCACGGACTTTGACAGAGCAGAGGTGTGTGCTGCAGGGTGACAGCCACGTCCCCCAAGTCCTCCGCTACTCTGGACCAAGTACGGGCACCGTTAGTGTGGAAGGACCCAGAGGGCAGGCGCAGCTGGAGCCCTGCAGGATCTCTGGGACATGGGGCGGCCGGTGGGCGCTCATCTTGCTGGCCCTGGCCGGGCACCTTGGCCTCGGCCTTTTGCCATCTGTTTTCTGCTTTCTTTGGCCTGCTGGCCTCTGAGTAGGGAGACTTGAGTCCTGCCTTGGGCTCCAGGCCACCCCAGCTCCCCCAGCTGGGGTCTGGGCTGCTCCACCCAGCCTGGCCAGCACAGACACTCGGCCCTGACCCCGGGCCTTCCGAGCAGCTCCTGGGATCCCTGCCCAGGCGCCAGGCGAGGCCCAGGAGTGCTGCTATCGCAACTCCAGAGACGCAGACTTCAGCTGTGCTGTGTGTGTCTGCTGCTGGGAAACACTGTCCACGAGCTGGGGAACTGCACAGAGAGCGCACTCCTCACCCAGTGTACGCTTGGGAGCCCACCAATGGGAAGTACTTAGTACTGAGCCCACCTGGTCAGAAGTACTTCGTACTGAGCCCACCTGGTGGGAAGTACTTAGTACCAAGCCACAGAAAGCAGAGAGACGGTGCTTAGCTCAGTAAGTCTTCCATGCCCTTCGCACGGTCTGCAGTCCATTCTGCAGGAGCAGCGCGGCCCGTGGAGAACATGGTTGTCTTAAGTGCAAATGAACCTTGCTAAAGGTACCTCTTCCAAGGGCCCTTCCCCATGTTGCAAACAGCCAGCTTATGCCTGGCTTTACAGTTCAGGGCTCAGCAAGGGAAAGGCACGTCTAGCTCTTGCAGCCAGAGGGAACTGCACACAGCGGCTCCATTAGAAGGGTGAAGGAGGACTCAGCCAAGTAAAAACAAAACCTATAAATGCACAATGGCAGGAAAGCACTGTCACGCTGGGTAAGCACACACAAAGGGAATAACGGGCATCAGGAGCCCGGCACCCAGCGGGGGCTGGCGGGGTCTAGACTGAGACACAACCCTTCCTCCAAGCAGGAGCCCAGGCTGCAGCCCCCGCTGGTCTGCAGGGGAGGAGGAGGCTGGGGGAGCAGATGGGCGCCCTTCAGTCTCTCTTGGGGCCTCCTATGGGCCGGTCCTGCTCTGCAGCAAAGGAGACGGGAGAGCAGGGTCGGGAAAGGCAGCCGGACCACGAGTTGGCGTCTGAAGCAGTACCCAGGACGGGAGGCGCCAAATCGGGAGGCCACGGGAGCCGTGATGGCTTTCCAAGCTGCCGGCCCTGAGAGACGTCACCAAGTGCAGGCAGGAGCCACCCGAGGAAGCGACAGAGGAGCACTGTGGCAGATCTCAGTGCGAGCCAGAAGCTGAGCTGGCAGCAGCTGGGCGGCCTGGGGAGTCCAGCTGGGGCAGCCTAGCAATCGATTGACTTATTCAGATCTTATTTCAAAATAGAAAATAAAACAGATTTGGGTAACCCCAGCACTCGGGAGCCTGAGGCAGGAGGAGCACTGCAAGTTCAAGACCAGCCTGGGCTACAAAGTGAACCCAAGGCCAGCCTGAACTGCATGGAGAGACCTTCTCTCCAAAAAAAAAAAAATTGTTTTTTTAGGATTTAGCTCAATGCAATGGTCCTTTGTTCAATTCCCAGTATTAAGAAAGAAAGCTTCTCTGCTTCTGTCTGTTTCTCTCTCCCCTGTTATCCTATCTTCCAATATAACCAAATCTCTACTCGAAGGCTTACCCAGATTTTTGGGCTCAGTTTACACAAGACGGTGGCCCACACTGCTAACCTGGCAGTGAGCCCACTCGCACGGGCCCAGGACGGAAGCACTGTAACCACTTGAGCTTTGGTTTCCATCCGAGAGATAGTGGAACGAGGAGTGGAATTCAAGAAGCGGCCAAGAGGCAATCAGCACCATAAATCACTTCTGACCCACGAGGTAACGGTCGTGTTTCAGGTATTACGAGGAATAAAAGGAAAAGATACAATAAATGTGGTCTTTGCGAAGAATATGGCCTTGTTAGGAAGACAGGATTAACAGAAGTGAAATTATTAAAGGCCAATGCCAGAACAAACTAAATGATAGGTGTCACACCTAATGACTGCAGCTTAGTCAGGTATTAATTTATCAAATATTTATGCACACCTACTCCCAAGACTTCCCTAAGGTTCTGCATCTCTTTAAACTACATAAATCACATTAGCTGCATGTCAAAAAGAAGGTTTTTATAAATACTAGTTATAGCATGTTATTGCAACAAGGTTATATTCTACTAACTACAAAGAGGAAAACATCACTTAATCCAATTGAAACTTGTGAGTAAACTTTGTTTATTCTTTTTGGTGTTTGTTTGGAGAATGCTTTCATCCTGAGTATAATAATCTCAGAAACAGGAACACAAAAGATGTTAAAATTCTACAGGAACATTTCTCCTGTGCTACTGTTTTCTGGGTGTTTAAATCTGCATCTAACCTTACCTTAAAACACACCTAAGGGATGAGACAGGCAGATGATACAGGGTGGGTTGTCCCTTCCCAAGTCCCCTCACGCTTTTGTGTCGTAGAAGTCACATGGCAGAGGGGTCACTGTAGTGGACAAACACGCCATCCTGCTGAAACTGCAAGGCAGATGGCCTGGGTCTGATTTAGAGGTGTGGGCT